AAAATAAGCCGGGCTCAGTGGCTCAGCCTGTAATCCCAGCACTTTGGGAAGCTGAGGTGAGAGGACTGCCTGAGCCCGCGGGTTCGAGACCCGCCTGGGCAGCGAGACCTCATCTCTACAATAAATCAAAAAATTAGCCGGGCATGGTAGCGCGCGCCTGTAGTTCCAGCTACCTGAAAGGCTGAGGTGGAAGGATCGCCGGAGCCCAGCAAGTCGAGGCTGCGGTGGCCGGGAGCAGCCACCACACTCCAGCCTGGGTGACAGAGTGAGACTCCAACTCAAAAATAAATAAATAAATAAAAAGAGTTGAGAGTCTTGCTATGTTGCCCAGGCTGGTCTTGATCTCCTGAGCTAAAGGGATCCTCCCTTCTCAGCCTCCCAAGTAGTTGGGATGACAGGTGCCTCCCTGCCTGGTCCAGTCTATTTTCATCCATGGAGCCCTTGGCATTGACCTTAATAGTTCCTAAGTTTTTGACCTTCACGGCCATCCTCACTGTTTTCTTGCACTGACCTCACTCCCAACCTAAGTTCTCGTTTGTGTAAGACAGTTTGTCAAGTAAGCCCCGCCTTTAAAAATCTACATAAATTGCTTCTTTAAATTGTGGCAAAATATACATGACACAAAATGTATCATCTTAACCATTTTTAAGTGGCATGAAGCACACTCACGTGGGTGTGCAGCCATCACCACCATCTCCGGAATTTTTTCCTCTTCCCAAAGGGAAACTCTGTCCTCATGAAACACTCACTTCCTGTCCCCTCCCCAGGCCCCGGCACCCACCAGGGTCCTTTCAGTCTCTGGATCTGACAACTCTAGGGACCTCCTAGAAATGACATCTTACAGGATTTGCCCTTTTGCGTCTGGGTCTCACTAAGTGTGACGTCCTCAAGGTCCATCCGTGTTGTAGCCTGTGACAAAATCTCTTTCCTTTTGAAAGCTGAATAATATTCCATTGCATGGCCAGGTGCAGTGGCTCACACCTGTAATCCCCAGCATTTTTGGAGGCAGAGGTGAGAGGATTGCCCGAGCCTGGGGGTCTGAGACCAGCCTGGGCAACTTGGCAAGACCGCATCTCTATAATAATTCATAATAAATCAAAATATCAGCTGGGCATGGTGGTGCACACCTGTAGTTCCAGCTACTTGGGAGGTTGAGACGGAAGGATCACTTGAGTCCTGCAGGTCAAGGCTGCGGTGACTGTGAGCATGCCAGTGCACTCCAGCCTGGGCCCCTGAGTGAGACTCCGACTCAAAAAAAAAAAAAAATTCCATTGTACAAATGGACCTCATGTGTTGATTAAAAACCCAAATCAAGCGCTTTAAAAAAACTTCCAATCTTGCAATAATTATAGATTTGCAGAAAGTTGCACTCACAGTACAGAGGAGTCCCAGGCACCCTTTACCCAGTTTATATAACGAAACAATTTTACAACCAGGAAGTTGACATCAGCATGATTTATAGACCCAAGTCATATTTCAACAGCTTCTTCATGCATCTGTGTGTATGTCTAGGCAATATTATCACATGTGCAGATTTGTGTAACTGCCACCACAATGACAAAGCTTAGATAAATTTATTTTATCCAGTGCATGGTGGCTCACACCTGTTATCCCTCCACTTTGGGAGGCTGAGACAAGAGGATCGCTTGAGCCCAGGAGATCGAGACCAGCCTGGGTAACATAATGAGACCCTGTATCTATAAAACAGTAACAAATTAGCTGATCATGGTGACTCATGCCTCTAGTCCCAGCTATTTGGGAGGCTGAGGTGGAAGGATTACCTCAAGAGTCCAGGAATTCAGCAATCCACTTACCTCGGCCTCCCAAAGTGCTAGGATTACAGGCTGAGCCACCGAGTCTGGACTTTTTTATTTTTTTATTTTTTTTAAGTGACAGGGTCTTTCTCTGTCTCCCAGGCTGGAATGCAGTGGTGCAATCATAGCTCACTGCAGCCTCCAACTCCTGGCCTCGAGCCATCTTCCTGCCTCAGCCTCTCAAGTGGCTGGGACTAAAGGAATGTGCCACCACATTCAGCTACTTTTTACAAAGTTTTTCCTAGAGGCGAGGTCTTGCTATGTTGCCCAGGATGTTCTCAAACTCTTGGCCTCAAGCAATCCTCCCTCCTTGGCCTTCCAAAGTGCTGGGATTCCAGGCATGAGCTACTGTGTCTGGTTGGTTCAGTGATTTCGAAGGCAGGTCCACATGTCAACAAAATGTATCTTCCGAGGGAAACACTGTGTCAGTGCATTAAATCGTGGTGACAGTCCTGAGAGAGCAGGACCATTATTATGAGGAAATCAAGGCTTAGAGAGTTGACTTGGCTTGTCCTACCTTCTAATCACGTGGCCTAAGATAAATCCTTTAACTTCTGCAGGCTCAGTTTCCTTGCTAGTAACCTGGCGATAACAATGGTTCTTCTTTCTTCGGGCTGTTAAGAATGTTAAATGAGATAATACTGAACGCCGAGCACTTAGAAGAGAGCCTGGGCCAGGCTCGGTGGCTCAGTCTGTCAGCCCAGCACTTTGGGAGGCCGAGGCGAGAGGATTGCCTGAGCCCACGTGGGTTTCCAGACCACCAGTCTGGCCAACTTGGTGAGAACTCGTCTCTACAATAAATCAAAAAACTATCTGGGCATGGTAGTGTGTGTCTGTAGTTCCAGCTACTTGTGAGGCTGAGGCAGAAGGATCCCTTAAACCCAACAAGTCAAGGCTGCGGTGGCCATGAGTGTGCCACTGCACTCCAGCCTGGGTGACAAGAGTGAGACTTCAACTCAAAAAAAAAAAAAAAAAAAAAGAAAGAAAAGAAAAGAGCATGGCTCTAATACACAGTAAAAATGTGCCATTATTATTATTATTATTCTCACATGGTTGTCTTAAAGTTCAAGTTCAACTTCAAGAAGCAAATCAATTCCCTTTTATTGAGACTCTACTCTGGGCCAGTGAGCTCAGCCGTTGGCCAGCTGTGTCTCTGTGTGTCTTTGCAACCACCGGATCTATCATCATCCTCTCCACACAGCAGGTGAGCACACCAAGGATCAGAGAGGTGCATTCACCTGACCAAGGTCACATAGCATAGGAAGTAGAGAATTCAAACCCAAGCTTATCTGATTCAGAGTTTTGCACAGGAAACCGGGACCGGGAACCCCAGACCTGGAACACCACAGGGTTCCTCTCCTCTTAGGGGCTTTGAAAGTGGCTTCTGGTGGCCGATGGGACATTCTGAGCATATGAGGTCTTGACCATCCAGGAGAAATAGCTTCAATCCGGCTCAACTTTCCATAGCACAGACGAGAGGGTGGAGGTCCCCAGAGGGGAAGCAAAGAGGCTGGGTTCCAGAGTCAGGTACCCCAGGGGTGCTGAGCTGAGCCCACTGGGTGGGCGTGCGGCTGCTGCTTGACATGGGCACTGGAGTATAGAGCCAGCCTGGAGTCTCTCCGTGCACCCTCTGGAATAACTTTGCTTTCCGTGCCTCACGTCTAAAATGGGACAAGTGCTAGTACTCATCTTGGTGGACTCTACATTATTATTATTATTTTTTAGACAGGGGATCTCACTCTGTCACGCAGGCTGGAGTGCAGGGGTATAATCATAGGTCACTGAAGCCTCGACCTCCTAGGCTCAAGCGATCCTCCCACCTCAGCCTCCTGAGTAGCTGGGACTCCAGGTGTGCGCTACCATGCCCGGCTCATTTTTGTGTTGTTTTGCTTTGTTGCCCAGGCTTATTATTATTATTACATCACTATTCTCAAAACAGTCCTCTGGCCGGGCTCGGTGGCTCAGCCTGTAATCCCGTGCTTTGGGAGGGTGATGTGAGTGGATTGCCTGAGGCTGTGGGTTCGAGACCCGCCTGGGCAGCTTGGTGAGACCTCATCTCTACAATAAATCAAAAAATTAGCTGGGTGTGGTAGCGTACGCCTGTAGTTTCAGCTACTTGGAAGGTTGAGGTGGAAGGATCGTCTGAGCCCAGCAGGTCAAGGCTACGGTGGCTGTGAGCATGCCACTGCCCTCCAGCCCGGGTGACAGAGTGAGACTCTGACTCCAAAAATAAAGAATAAAAATAAAAATAAATAAATAAATAAAAACAGCCCCCCCCCCCATGATAATTCCCGCACTTTGGGAGGCTGAGGTGTGAGAACCACTTGAAGTCAGGAGTTTGAGACCAGTCTGGGCAACACAGTGAGACCTTGTCTCTACAAAACAAAACAAAACAAAACAAAAACAAACTTTTTTTTCAAATTTGCCAAGCCGAGGGCGGGGGGTTCACACACTGTCATCCCAGCACTTTGGGAGGCTGCGGGGAGATGATTGCCCGAGCCCGGGGTTTGAGACCAGCTGGGGCAACTCGGCAAGACCTCACCTCTACAATAAATTTTTAAAAATTAGCTGGGCGTGGTGGTGCCCGCCTGCGGTTCCAGCTACTTGGAAGGCTGAGGCAGAAGGATCGCCTGAGCCCCCAGCGGGTGGGGGCTGCAGTGGCCGTGAGCGTGCCACCGCACTCCAGCCTGGGCCACAGAGTGAGACTCCAGCTCAAAAAACAAAAAACAAAAAAGGATGAGCAGGGCGTGCTGGGGGTGCGAGCCTGTGGTCCCAGCTCCTGGGGAGGATGGCCTGAGCCCTGGAGGCCGAGGCTGCCGCCAGCCGGGCCGTGCCACCGCACCCCAGCCTGGGCGACCGAGTGAAACCCTGTCTCTAGAATAAATAAACACACATGGACACTTGGGCCACCAGCTCCACCTCCCCGCGCTCACCCCCACGGAGCCGGGACAGGTGAGGCCTCCTCTCCGCCCACCCCCGCCTGGCCCGGTCGGTGCCAGCCCCAGGCTCGTGCCCAGGGCGGTCGCCCCGGCACAGCCAGGGCTGCCCTGGTGCAACCGGGGAGCGGCCCAGCAGGTTTTTCCTCCCCGCGGTGCCCTCCCCGCCTCCCCGCCCGCCCGGCCCTCCGCGGCTGGCTCGCTCGCTCGCTCCTCTCCGCCGGGCGCAGCCAGCGGGCGCGGCGACAGGATGCCCAGCATCCTGGCCTACCAGAGCTCCGAAGTGGACTGGTGCGAGAGCAACTTCCAGCACTCGCAGCTGGTGGCCGAGTTCTTCAACACGGTGAGCGCGGGCGGGCGCGGGCGCCTCTCCGCGCGCGGGTTCGAAGCCCGGCCGCCCCTCCCGCGGACCCGCCGCGGCGGGAGTCTCGCTGGAGCGGCTCGCGGGTCCGAGCCTCAGTCTCCCCGTCTGCGCGTCTTTACGCGGCGCCGGGCTCGGGGGTGGGTTTTGGAATCCACCCGCGGGCCGGGCAAAGCGCCGATCTCTGTCCTCCCTGGGTGGCGGACACCGAGGCGACTTCGGGCGCCCCGGGGAGGTGGTGCAGTCGCGGGGGACGGCAGAGGAGGTCTCGGAACTCCTGGAGTGGGCGCAATCGGGGCGGGCTTCCGGGAAGCGGTGTCTGTCTTGTTCTCAGCTGCGCCCCCAGCCCAGGATGACCAAGTCATCCCGGTCTCCTCAGGACTATCTTGGTTTCTGCGCTTCAAGTTCCACCGCCCCGAAAATCCCCAGTTCTGGGCTTACCAGGATGGTGGTCACCCTTCCCCAGGCCGGGTTACAGCGCTGCATAAGAAGTGCTCCAAGCCGGGCTCGGTGGCTCAGCCTGTAATCCCGCGCCTTTGGGAGGTTGAGGTGAGTGGATTGCCTGAGCCTGCGGGTTCGAGACCCGCCTGGGCAACTTGGTGAGCCCTCCTCTCTACAATAAATCAAAAATCAGCCGGGCGTGGTAGCGCGCGCCTGGAGTTCTGGCTACTCGGAAGGCTGAGGCGGAAGGATCGCCGGAGCCCAGCAGGTCGAGGCTGCGGTGGCCGGGGGCGGCCACTGCCCTCCAGTCTGGGTGACCGAGTGAGACTCCAACTCAAAAAAAAAAAAGAAGTGCTCCAAAATCGAGAGTGTGGGTTGGGGACGGTGACGCCTTCCTATAATCCCAGCACATTGCGGGGCTGAGGCAGGAGGCTCCCTTGAGATTAGGAGTTCAAGACCTGCCTGGGCAACATAGTGAGACCCTATCTCAAAAAAAAAAAAAAAAAAAAAAAATTTAAAAATGAGCCAGGTGTGCTGACACATACCTGCAGTTCCAGCTACTCGGGAGGCTGAGGAGGGAGGATCACTTGAGCCCACGAGGTCGAGGCTGTGGTGAGCTGTGAACTTATTCCTGCACTCCAGCCTGGACAACAGAGTGAGGTTCTGTCTCTAAATTTGAAAAAAAATTATAAATGAATAAGTGACAATGGCGTTTAACCAAAGCCAGAAGGATGCAGGTGGCCAAAGATACTGTCCCCGCACGGGTCACTGGGGACACAGCAGTGAAGGAGCAGGGTTGTTTGCTTCCCAGGGGCTTCTGGGACGGCAGATGATCCAGTTCTGTGCTCTACGTACAGCCGGTGCTCAGCAGGCGGTGAGCGGGGTGATCATAGGAATAGTGGCTTTTATTTTGTGCTTGCTGTGTGCCAGGCATGGCGCTAGACACTTCACATGAAGAATCTCATCTCATCTTCACAAGGACATGGGGAGTTAGAGGTGGTGCTGGTCATCTAGCATCATTCCGTCTTCCAGGTGAGGACACAGGCATTCAGGGAGTTTGAAGGACTTGTCCAGGGTCACCCTGGTAGTTAGAGACAGGATTTTTTTTCTTTTTGGAGTCGGGGTCTCACTCTGTTGCCCAGTCTGAAATGCAGTGATACGATCAGGGCTCGTTTGCAGCCTCGAACTCCTGGGCTCAGGCGATCCACTTACCTGGGCTGGGACTACAGGCTCACACCACCAGGCCTGGCTTTTTTTTTTTTTTTTTTGAGACAGAGTTTCACTCTGTCACCCAGCCTGGAGTGCCATGGCATGCTCATGGCCAACCCAGCGTCGACCTGCTGGGCTCCGGCAATCCTTCCACCTCAGCTTTCCAAGGAGCTGGAACTACAGGTGTGCGCTACCATGCCCGGCTAATTTTTTGATTGATTGTAGAGACGGGGTCTTGCCAAGTTACCCGGGCTGGTCGCCAAGTTGCCCTGAGCTCTGGCGATCCCCTCACCTCGGTCTCCCAGAGTGCTGGGATGACAGGCTGAGCCACCAACCCCAGCCCCTACCTGGCTAATTTTTAAAACTTTTTCGTAGAGTCCAGGTCTCGCTATGTTACCTAGGCTGATTTTCAACTCTTGGGCTCAAGCAGTCCTCCAGGTTCAGCCCCTCAAAGTGCTGGAATGACAGACATGATCCACTGGGCCTGGCCAGAGACATGATTTAAGCTTGGAGAGTCCAGGAGACTTTTTTGGGGGAGGTGGGTGGCAGGCTGGGTCCTAGGATGCCTGGGTCGCTCTGACTCTTGTTACCTTTGACCTTGTAGCTTTCCATAGCTGAGAGGTGGGAGGGTGGGACCAGGACTCCTCATAATCTCAAGGGTTCTTGCTGACAGTTTCTGGGCCACTCGTAACATGGGAAAGGGCTGAATGCCCATCCCCTGAGGCTAAGAAGAGGGGTAAGTTTTCTAGAGCCTTCTCTCTGGATTGCCTAGCAACTGCTACTGGTCAGTCTTCTCTGTTCAGCCCAGGTGGGCACCCAGAGGTGTGGCATAGGGGCTCTTGCCTGTAATCCCAGCATTTTGGGTGTGGTGGTTCATGCCTGTAATCCTAGCACTTTGGGAGGCCAAGGCAGGAGGATTGCTTGAGGCCAGGAGTTCAAGACTAGCCCGGGAAACATAGCAAGACTCCGCCTCTTAAAATATATACATAGGACTGTGTGTGGTGGCTCATGCCTGTAATCCCAGCACTTTGGGAAGCCAAGGCAGGAGGATCACTTGAGCCCAGGAGTTCAAGACCAGCCTGGGCAACATAGACTTCATCTCTAAAAAAAAAAAAAAAGTTTTAAAAAATGAGCCAGGCATGGGAGTGCAAACCTGTAGTCCCAGCTACTTGGGAGGCTGAGGCAGGAGGATCACCTGAGCCTAGGAGGTTGAGGCTGCGGTGAGCTGTGATCGTGCCACTACACTCCAGCCTGGTCTCTAAAAATAAAAATAAAAATAAAAGACACCAAGAAGGGGCTGACTCAGGTGGGAGCTGGCACAACCCAGGTGTATGATTTTTTGATTGATTGTAGAGATGAGGTCTCGTGCCCAGGCGGGTCTCGAACCCGCGGGCTCAGGCAATCCACTCACCTCAGCCTCCCAAAGGCATGGGATGACAGGCTGAGCCACCGAGCCCAGCTCATTTCTAGATTTTATCAGACAGAAAGAAAAGTTTCACAAAACAAGACTGACTTTTCCTGGTGCCAAAGCTCTTGGCCATTTTCTATTCTGAGTCAGAGTTGAGTGAGAAAGGGTTTCCTCAAGGCTTTCTCCTCCAAAACACTGCTCAGTAACTCAAACACGTCACCACAGCCATTTAATCTTATAGCTCAGAGAGTGGGGTAGGGTGGCACGCTTTTTCTGCACAGGGCTAGCTAGCAAATATTTTTGGGCCGGGCGCAGTGGCTCACGCCTGTCATCCCAACACTTTGAGAGACGGAGGCGAGAGGACTGCCTGAGCCCAGGGGTTCAAGACCAGCCTGGGCAAGTTGGCGAGACCTCTTCTCTACAATAAATCAAAACATTAGCCGGGCAGGGTGGTGCACACGTGTTGGTCCAGCTACTTGGGAGGTTGAGGTGGAAGGATCGCCTGAGCCCAGCAGGTCGAGGCTGTGGTGGCCGTGAGTATGCCACTGCACTCCAACCTGGATGACAGAGACCTCGACTCAAAAAAAAAAAAAAAAGAAAAGAAAAACTTGTCTTTATGGGTCAGGTGAACTCTTTGGCAACTACTTAACTCTGTCATTATAGCTGGAAAGTCACCATAGATATGTCAATAAACGGGTACAGCTGTGTGCCAATAAAACTTTGTTTTTATGGGCACTGAGATGTACATTTCATATAATTTTCACATGATGGAAAATGATATTCCTTTAATTTTTTTCAACCACTAAAAAATGTGGAATGGGAGTGGTGGCTCATGCGTGTAATCCCAGGGATTTGGGAGGCTGAGGTGGGAGGATTGCATGAGGCCAGGAGTTCGAGGCAAGCCTCGGCAACATAGTGGGTGAGACCTTGTCTCTACAATTAAAAAAAAGAAAAAAGAAAAAAAGTGAAAGCATCATTCTTCACGTGTGGGTGGTGGGCTGAACTTGAACCGTGGGCTGTGGTTGGTCAATTTCTGATGTACTTAAGTAGCAAAAAATCACCAAATAGAAAACAGCAAGTTCGCTTTTTTTTTTTCCCTTTCAAATCAGGAACTAAAAATGAGTGTATTTCTAGTGAACATGGGCTTACTCACGTATTGTCTCTTCCTGTGTGTAATTTGACAACTTGGGTTGAGAGGTGAATTAACAAATGAGCCTGCCTCACCCCCAACCTAGACATGGCACCTCTAGGAATTTTTATCAAAGAGATAATTCCAGTAGACAACAAGACTTATGTATAAACTCATCTCTGAGTCATTTGCAATTGCAATAAAGAAACGGATAAATAAAATGGAATCTGCAGCCAGGTGTGGTGGCTCACACCTGTCATCCCAGCACTTTGGGAGGCCAAGGAGGGAGGATTGCTTGAGTCCAGGAGTTCAAAACCAGCCAGGGCAACATAGCAAGATCCCATCTCCACAAAAAAAAAATTAAAAAAATTAGCTGGGTGTGGTGCTCTGAGGCTGTCATCCGAGGACTTTGGGAGACCAAGGCAGGAGGATTGCTTGAGCCCAGGAGTTCGAGACCAGCCTGGGAATCATAGTATGACCTTGTCTCTATTATTAAAAAAGAAAAAAAGAAAAGAAAAAATTAGCTGGGCATGGTGGCGCTTGCCTGTAGTCCCTGCTACTCAGGAGGCTGAGGCAGAAGGATAGCCTGAGCCCAGGAGGCTGAGGCTGCAGTGAGCCGTGATCATGCCACTATACTCCAGCCTGGGCTACAGAGTGAGACTCCAACTCAAAACAAATAAACAAATAAATAAAATAGAATCAGCAACGTTGTTAACCATGTGTGTGGGACTGAATATAATCTGATAAAATACTATGCAGCGATGTAAAAGCATACTTTTGACCTAGGGATGTATA